GGAAGATTTCAGAAATTATACGAGGAAAGCCATTTTGAGAAGGTCTATGTGTTCAGAAGGATTGCTTGATATTTAATTCATAATTCTGCTATCAAAATGAACTTTTAACATTTTATTACGAAGAGATTCAGTGAGCTATCCAGGTCATAAACATTGAAGACAAGAGCTTTATTTTAGCCAATTTTCGCCCGCAGCGCGGCCACACATAGCGAGGAAAACCCCAACCAAACATGAGTGGATTCTAAGAAATCTTTAACAATGATCTTCAAATTATATCAGTTATGGAAGTGATTATTGCGTGTGATCGAATACGGTAACAAAAATTTCTTATGTCAGGTTGCAGCCAACTAACACGGCTGCAAACGTAGAAGAAATACGAAAGATCTGCATAACAAACAACCGTTCGAATTCGGATTTCCAACCGCTACCTTTATAAGTTTTGAAGTTTTTATTACGGGAAATTCCAGAACCATTACACGGCTGTAAATAACGAAGAAAACCGAAAGATTAGAAACATTATGAACCCCTTCAAATTCAGAAAATCTCATCATCAATGAAACAGTAATTCCCATCACTACCTGCGTGAAATTTGGTGCTTTTAATACGGGAAATTTGATACCCTTAAAGCGGCTGTAGATAACAAAGAAACGCGAAAGATCAGACATATTAAAAACTTCTTCGAGTTCACAAAGTTTTATTATCAATGAAATGGTAATTTCGGCCACTACCTGCATGAATTTTGATGTTTTAAAACCCGGTTGAATTCAGAAAATATATGTGTTAATGATGCATAAATTATAATAAAAATAACTGATAACTTTTCAGTTCTTATTGCGGTATAATTTAGACCCTTAAAGCTGCTACATATTTTGAAGGAAACTTTTTTGTCAGAAACGTGGTAAAATTCAGGAAACATATTTGTCGAGGAATTAAGGCTTGATGCTTAAATAATGATAAAACTAATACATAAGTTTTCAGCTTTTTATTAAGTCTAATATCATAATAAAATAATTTATGTTAAAAAAAAAACAACGATAGACATATTGAAAAGATGTTGTGTTCAGTTTTGAAATTTGGGTAGTGCTCGAGATTTGTTAGCCTTAACACCAAACTTGAAATAATACGAACGCAATCATTAAGATGACATAAACGACGCTCTTTTATTCCAACTGCTGCTTCTGTTTTGTTTTCGTATGAGATCTGAAAACTTGATTTCATCGATGGATTTAGACAGTTCAGTGATATGTGCCCTCGACAATACAGAGCATTTTATTCGAATTCGTCGAGGCCACTGTGCTTACTGATAGGCAAGCTAACTGGTCATTAATCTTGTCTGCAATAACCGCGAGTTTGTCTAAGCTGTCTGAAGTGTCTGACAAAAAGGGTTTTAACTGTTGATGGTAAGAATTGGAACCATCATCATACGGCACTTTCCCGGAAGATAATTCACCGTTAATAATGAGTATTGTAAACCTTGGTATAAGTTTTGAGTCGGTGGATTTTCAATTGGTGTAACTTGCTATGTTAAGGAAATTGCTTCCAACAGAACCGCCAAGTGTTTGATATTTGTTGGTGTCCAAAGCAATTGCAGCTGTAAACTATTGACTCTCCAATTGACTGAACCGGAGACGGGAGTTAGTCTTCCAGAAAGGTGGTACCTTCACAGCACAGTGAAATGTTGTGTGAAATATTGTTTCGCTGCAGCTATAGGTCTCTTATTTTCTAGAATACTGGCATTTTTGATAATAATTAATAAGTACATTAAATTCCAAAATTTATTACGAAAAGTCAAACAAGCATAAATGTGTATATTTTAAGTTTAAACAGCAATGGGGCTCATTTCTTCGTTGGCGTCACCATTGTGGTGTCGTCCAATGGTTATTTGTCAAAAAAAGTACCACCAAACATTCATAATAAAAATATTCCGTAACAAATACCTAATCAATCGCAATTTATTTATGTTAAAAAACAAGAAACACCATTAATCTTAAAATTATTTATAAATATTCTTTTATTAGAACCAAATATTTACTTAGAGTCTTAGAAAGTTGACACAATTGAGCATCATTTTCATTTTCGAGTTAAAAAGTCTCAAGTGGTAAGTGCAATGGGCGGCCTCGCTACCATATTGTTTTACAGGAAAATATGAACAAAACCATAAGGGTTTAGAGCCAAAAACAAAGAAACGTAAACGTACTAAGTGTAGGAAAGTAAACGTAAACAAAAATTGTAAAAAAAGCAAGAACAAAGTTAATATGAAAATAAACAAGCTTGTTTATTGATTAGTAATAAAAAAGATTGGTTAGATATATACAGTCTACATTTTTGTGTTCTAATTGATCCATAATTTGAAAACTACCATCTATCACTCTCTAATAAAGCAATCTGATGAATATGTTTCAACTTTAAAAGAGAAGGTTTTATGTCTTGTTTTTCATTTCTTACAAAATAATATAAAAAAATATACACTAGTGTAACATAAACATAAATTAGATAAATAACTACAAAATTGAAAGGAAATCATCATCATTCCTTTTTGTGCCTTTTTATTTCTTTGTTTTATTTGTTGATATACAGTAAAAGCTCCTTATTCGCGGGGTATATGTTCCATAAAAATGCCGCGAATACAGAAACCGCGAATACGGAATGGTAATTTATATGGGATTATGGGGGATACGTTCCTAGGTGACACAACAAAGAAAATCAAATATATAAAAAAATCAATTAAATTGAAGTTTTTTGAAGATTTTGATTAATTATCTTAAGGCTTAGGCAATGGTTTGAAAAATTTGTACGTCTCTCTTGCTTGGCAGATTTTAAAAGCTCCTTCAATTCAGACTGATACGCAGCAGTCGCATTAGCAATTTGCCTCTTAAAAATAAAACTTCGTTTCATAGACGGATCAATGTTCATAAAGAAATCGCCAAGCTCATTTGCCATTCTTAAACTTTCACTAAAGTGTCACGTTTCCAGTGCTTGTTGTAGCCCCTTCTTCAATGGGCGGTGAATTTAACATTTCCTCCAAGTTGGTTTCAATTAAATCTTCATCTCGCAATTCAAGCAATTTCTGAATGTCACTTGATTCTATCTATACGAACCCATCTCGTTCTATTCCATACGCGATTTCGGCTATGTTTGCAGTCAAAGTTTGAACTTGCACAGATTCTTCGTCATATTCCGCAGTCAGAGCAGACCACAGTTTTTTCCAGCATGACTTCAATGTGTGTGGCTTCAGTTCTTCTAATGATTCTTTTATGTTTACGATGCATTTTGATACGTCAAATTTTTTTCCTGCATTCCATAACATTCATATTAGGATTACATTCCATATTATTCAATAAGATTTTGAAGGTTCGTCTAATGTAATCGAGCTTAAAGGCCTGGATTATTCCTTGGCCCATAGGTTGAAGCAAAGCCGTCATGTTGGGAGGTAAAAATGTCACTTTTATGTTTGGATGCATAGTTTCAAGTTCGCGAGGATGACCTGGTGTATTGTCCAAAACTAGAAGTGCTTTAAAGTCTAAATTCTATGTTTTTAAATAAGTTTCAACTTTAGAAACAAAAGAATTCCAGAACCAGTCACAAAAAATCCGCGAATAAAGAAATTTATAGCCGCGAATATGCGAATTGGATCCCTTTTTATTAATCCGCGAATAGTGAAACCGCAAATAAAGGAAGCGCGAATAAGGAGCTTTTGCTGTGCATGCAAAACCGGACGATTTTTCAATTTCCACAAAGATTTGTAATAAGTCATAGGAGATTTTATAGCGATTGAGAAAAAAATAAATGTTACATTGCCCCAAATTTCATATACATAGTTGCCATAATTTCCAAGACATTGTTTGTCGATAAATTCCACATATGTGTGGAATTTTGGAAAAATAATAGTTGGAGGTTGGTTATGGCATGTTTCTGTGCTGTAATGTTACAACTTTTGCTGAAGAGAAACTGAAGACATACATCAAAATGACAGAAAAATTCAGGATAAAGTTTCGCAAATGAATTCCGATCATTGAAACCATGGACATGGTACATTGGCTAAACATTAACCGATGATTCTGGTACCACCTATTTTGGTGCGCTAACGCGGATACCAATGCCACTGGAATTTGTTCGCCGTCGCTCAACGAGCCCGTGCCTCTAGAAATCTATTCTGTGATGCAAATACCTAAAGGCCTTCTTGCTTAATCGAAAGCGAACATGAAAAGTACGTTTTATTGTGTGAGGAATGTATTAAATGGGAACGCTTTAGAAACGTACTCTCGTGAAGCTAAAGAAAGATGGTTACTCTTATCCATTAACCGTCCTTTTTGGATTTGCACATTGGCTTTCATTAGCAGTTGTGCAGACTTGTGTACAGCAGTTGAAATAATACAACTTTAAAATTCAAGCTAAACTTTTAAGTATACTCATTTGCTTGAGTTGATGTGTTATTTATGAAACTTTTTATATTTTTGTTTAAGACATTTTAATTTTTCCATTAATTAATTTTTTAAATCTTATATTCGGTTTTTTTATTTACTTTTTTACCTTCTTTTTTCAATCGAGCTAAAAAGCGATCGTATCGCTTATGTCTTAACGAGATAACGAGAACTATAAACCGACCACACTTTTGTATAAAAGCGACTTTGTAGAGTAAAAACAAAATGTGAAGAATAAGTGTGAAACATTTTTTAAGGCCACACGGTCATAAATTGAATGTTGTCCATTACCTGAGTACGTAAATTAAGTGTCATACAATGGGAATGAAAGTAAACTCAACTACATGCCCGGAACCTAGACCCCCCCCCCGTCCCTCCACTACTCCACCAAGAGTAAAATAAGAAAAAGCACGAACAAACAATTTTTCTATCCTTTCCAAAGTTGAGCAATTTATTTGTTTGTTGTTTCGTATCAATATTTTCTTCTTACTTCCAATCAGCTTTCAGGGAAGTAATTATTATTGTGTCATTATGTATGTTATGGAAAACTTCCTTTAAGAAAAGAAAATTGGCGACTCGTAAAAAAAATTTTGTGTAATATATAGTTTAACAACGTTACACTGGGTTTATTTGATTTAATATAATCTAATTAATATACGTTTTATTCAGTACCCACACCATTTATAACACTAGGAAATTTATTGGCTTGGAAAATAAATTCCACTATCAATTCTTTGGGATTATTATCTTTTTAAGATGTGTCCGTTATTTTTGAACATTTATTTGGCAACGCGTTTTCGAAGATCCATAAGAGCCGTATGTATGCGAAAATGCAATCGTGATTCCAGGGAAAACCTAGTATATTGCTTTCTGTAACAACATTAAAGAATTTTTATTATGAAAAAAGAAAAATTAATGTAGGTTTTTAGAGTAGTGCACATTACTTGATCTTTTCCAATGTATTTATTGCCAAATCCACTTGATTTTCATCAGCGTATATCAACCCGGCTTCTAGATTAGCAAAGGCTATTATGTACTTGTCGTCTTTTACGGCGTTTTTCAAAGCAATACATTCTTTTAAATCTCTATAATGTTGACATTACGCAATGTGACATTGCGCAATCTACTTAAACTGTGTTCAAAGACTTACGAGCTTTTTACTTACTTGATAGCTAATGAGTTTTTTTTCATTTGTCTGTAGAAAGCCCCCCGTAACAATAAGCATAACGCGATATTATCAGCATCATATATACGTTGCGTTTTAAGGTTCTTCAGTTCATTAAATTTACATTCTATAATTTGATAAATACCGTCCGCTAGACTATGCTGTTTACTAAGCACTGTAAAAGTATTCCACACGTACATCAGCTCAACAGCAGGCAAACAAAGCCATTTACCTTGACAAAAATAACGCTCGATTTTTTTGCATACGAATTTTTCCATGGGTAATGATTTGCCAGCAATGCGTTGCTTATAAGTAGGAGCTGTAGTCATTAAAGTGTCAATGATCTGGTTTTCATTGTGGGTTAGATTAGGCAACATTAACATAGTTGTAGCTTTTTGATACGAATATATAGTGGGAGACCATTTACTGCTCTCTACCAAATGCGAAGCATACAAACTAGCTTCCCGCCAGTCAACTTTTAAACTATGGAAACCAGGTAAGCAATATAAACTGTTATGGGTAACACACACAGTGAATGAATGAATCTATCTACCAATTAACCCACAGCAACTCCCAGAAACTCAAATGGTGGAATTGTGGCCAAACATTTTGCGATCTCCAAGACATTTTGTACCAATGTTCTGCAGTGACCAAATTGCCTCGCATAAACTCCAAGCGACCTTTAAAAAATAGGAACAATGCCCCATGTGGATACTTTTCCAATTGCGTCTGTAGAATATCGTCACATAACACCAAATCACCTTCCTGATGGCCTAATATATAACATACGATCAAGTGATAGCCCAATAATGTCAGAGCACAAAGCACTTGGCGTAATCCAGATGTTTTATAACCGCGATTAAGGTCCTCCAGCCCGGCATCCTTAAAAAAGTATTTAAAAAAAAAGTTCATCACTACTTGTATTGTCTACTTTACCAAAATTTTGAAGTTACTCTGTCTCCAGAGAAGCCAATAAACTGAAGTAATTTGATTACACTGGCGGGAAGTAACGATATCATTAAATTAAATGTGCCCATTCCCATCCGCACTCCGCTTTCAAAATGGATTTTCGATATTTGTGATTGCCATTCACGATTAGATAAGGTAAGAGTACACTCTCTATAACAATGGTTTTACATAAGTCTATATTCAATAAACTGACGTGGTGTACTACGATGTATGCCTTTAAATAAATATTTTTTTGTATACTCTTTTGTTTTCGTACTGTTATATTTCTTCTCTTCAGTTTGGTGCCCAAAATGATATATATATATATAATTTCATTGATTGTAATTAACTTTCTTTTACAAGAGCCCATTGCTTGACACCTAGAAATGTAGGTTTAGAAACCATGGATATGGTAAAATCAGCGCACAGAATTCTTATTCGATTTAATTTAAGTTTGTCCTTTTTATTTAAGTTGTGAGAATATTCACAGAGAAAAGAAGATAAATTTTTGAGTTTTCCGATACCAATCAATATATATTTTGTACGCAAAGAGATATGGAATTCAAAAATTTAGATTCAGGGTAATTTCGATGCAAATCCTTAGCTTTTCCGTAAACATATCGCATAAGAATAATTATTTTTATACACCGCTTGTGATACAAATTTCATTATGCTTGCGCAATTGTATGCAACATCAAAAAGAACTTGAGAAAATTCCATTCTCTTTACATTTAATACGTTTGTTTAAATGTCCATCTTTCTGGCAAGCTTAGGCTTTCCTGCGCTGAACCTAGAGACCGGAATTCCCGAAACATTGATTTAATATATGGTGCACGACTACTTTTTCAACCGGCCACGAACGTTACCGCTCCCTCCATAAATGTCTGTTTTGAATAAGCCGTAAGATGAAAAAAGTTTTATATTTTTACTATTTGTAGACTAAAATTCGGGAAGAACACTTTTATAATACACTAAAAAAATTTGCAAAGTTGAGACCTCCCGTATAAAATAGTTCGCATAAAAAGCATGTCTTTGCATGTCAAAATGCCTTCTATTAGCATTTGATAATGACAATTGGTACATATATTGATTTCACAAATAAATGTAGCGTGATTAGTTTCGATTACAATGATTTATTTGTCCAATGCCTTGCCTGTAAAAGCTTTCAGGGAATGTAAGTCTTTATGGCGACAAAGTGAAATTCTCGGTGTTTTATGACGAACAATGGCAGAGATCTATATTAAGCGAAGTGATGCAAGATATTGAATAGTTGGCTACGTCCTAAGGGATAGTTTTGTTCAATTGAAGCAACTAATGTTACACTACGTATTGAAGGATTCTTAAAGTAAGTATCCGGCTTTACCGAAGCCCATTCCATACAATATTGACTATTTCATTTTGCGACGTTTTTCTAAACATTTCTAAAATAAGCGGAATTGGACAAACACGATTTCCGTTATGAGTATGCCTATTGCTATAATTGAAATTTGGCGTATGCTTCCACTTGTTCAAGTATAGCATCACTCATAAAAAACTATTTCTATAATGAATCAAGAAATACGATCGCAAAACGGTACATGCTCTCGTACAGATATGATCTTGACCTCGCTTTGGAATCTATCGCTTACGTCAACACTTCGTACAGCTATTTTACAGCGATTGCTACAGAAGAAATCGACCAGGTCGCTAGTTTGCCTCAACCACTTTTCTCCCTTTGATTATGTAGATGATATCAGCGGACTCATAGTAAATCTGATTGGAGATTGTGATTTCGTTTTAGTTAAGGCTTATTCAAGAAAATCGGTTTCACATCGTCCCTATTGTCGGCATAAATAAACATGTGTTGAAATGGGTGGCCTTCTCAATTCGACCTAAGTTTGACGTCTAGAATTGAAATTATTGAATTTGAATGGCACACATAGTAACACCACTTAATATAGATATATACTTATAGTTGTTGTAGCAATGGTTTATTTGGACTCCACCCTTAATGAGGGTAGTAAGCGATTCATCTTCTGCGAATATTAATAACGCTTGAAGCAGCAAAGCTTCTGCCATACAAAGTTCAGCGTGAGCTTCCATGTCGCTCAAGGCGGAGTAAGCTGTCTAAATAACATGGCAGAAGGAATAACATCATTACCAATAATCCAATATTACGCTTACGCAAAGTACCCTTTTTAATTTTTTTCCTATTGACTCGCTTATCGTGTTTTTATGACGGTATTTTTGACAGATGTCGAGGCAGCTTCGCAATTCATCCCCAGCTTGGAGAATATGAGCCCGTTCAAACGTTAGAATAGCCTCCAAAAAGGAAAACATTGCTCGTCCCATTGAATGATACATGCTTGTGTTGGCATGAGGTAAAACTATAGATTTAGCCTCGTCAAATTTATTATTAAAAAAATAATATATAGCTAATTCAGCTTCTTCTAAGTTTTTCTCCAACTCTGTTGTGTTATTAGACAAGCCCTGACTGAAAATGACTAAATGTTTTAAAAGTTCATAGGAAGTCTCTTCAACTTACCTCTTATGACAAATAACATTTTGACTAGCCTCTGCCTGTGCCTCTTGAAGATGTGCATCTAACTCTAGTTCGTCGTTAATGGCATCATGAAACTGTAGCAAAAAAAAAAAATATTTAAAGTTACAGATTTCTTTAAGTTTGTTTTGTAATCGCCTATTTTATTTTCTCTTTTGAGTTTTGAATTTATTTATTTTTGATTCGGATAGGTAAAAATGCTTAAATTGTGGATTCAAGTTAAACGCTGTTGGCATGATGAAGCTTGTCTTTGATTTCATGCCTAGGAATAAAAGTAGAACAAGCGGAAAGCAGTGTAAATGAACACAATAAAGCAAAGCATCTCGACATAATTTTAAACCTTTAAGTATTCCATGCGAGAATTGGCAAATCTTATGGTCTTATATAAACATAACCAAGTTAAAGAAAAAGATAGAATAAGAAATAAATACAATTTATTTCAAACTTTGTATCGCTTTTTTTTTCTGAGATATTGCACGTAATTTCAGTTTATACTGTATATTATTTTCCAGAAAATAAAAAAGGCAAAATTGCTGAATTAAATTAATTTTCAGAAAAAACGAAATATGATTTAGTCCGAAATTTTGTTGAAAATTCAAATCAGGATATTATTACGGACTTTTTGTATTTCTGTTATGAATAACAACATTAAGACTGTTTATTAATAGCTATTTGACAGCTTGCTCTTCCGCTCTCATTATTTGTACGGACATGGAGTCTGTTAATAATTTCTTGATGTGAAGTCGCATTTTTTCGTACGTTCACAAAGCTAAGAGGTATATAATGCTTTGTTCGTCAGTGAACATATTGTCCACATCTATGTGTATGAAGGAGAAGAATCAAACAGTATATATTTACGTAGCAAATATAGTTTTTTTTTTCATCGTTTATTTCACATCAAAGAATTCTAAATTTTATGCGCCAAATGCTTCCACAATTTGCAATAAAAATTTTTATATCAATGTATGCGAAGAAATTCGTTATTATTAAAAAAAAATAATGTAGTAGGAATCTTTATCTAATTTACTTATTATTTATACATTTATTGCATAAATATTTGTCATATTTTATCTAATTTTCCATGTCACACACGAGGAGGTATGCACGGAGTCTACTTGCATAGCTATTATATTATTTATATTCTAGAACTAATCATTTAGACAAATGAATAGAATACCAAAAACTACTCCTTCAGTGTTTTCACTCTGCTTAGACGTTAGCAGTGAGACCTTTCAAAAACTCCTGCACACGCAATAATTTTGACTTCGTTTCAACCATTTGTTTAATTAAAATGAGGAATACAAATGGTATTTAATAGGCGCCGTGTAGACTTCCTCAAGTGCGATATGGAAAACTGGTTATATATATAACATATATATGTGTAAAATTAATAAATGCATAAATAGTAAGTAAATTAGATAAAGATAAATTATTCGTACAAGATAATATGTTTTTTTTAATAAAAATTTCGTTGTAGAGCTTGACATGCAAATTCGTATTCAAATTTGTGGAAGGATTTGGCGAACATAAAATATAAAATTTTTTCGATATGAAATAAACGATGAAGTGAAAACAAACTATGTATATATAAGAGAAACACAAAGAATCCTGATTTGAATTTTTAATCAAATGTCGGTTATGAGTATGCGGATTAAAGAGTAATTTTCAACTAATGGAACAATTAATAATAGTAAAAGGTTTCTTATGACGTTATATATATACACTTTAAAAACTTTTTCATTAAATAACTTCAAAATAATTGTTTCATATTAATTTTACTATCGTAATTGCTGTCTTCATTTCTTACTTTGGTACTTACGTATTAACGCCACCGCGCCAAAAATTCCATTTAAAAACCAATAAAAAGCAATCTTTTAAACTTTTAAAAAAAGTTTTTTTGGCAACTAAATATAATGATAATACTAATGTTTTAATAATAATATTTTTGCTGCGGTGGCGTTAATACGTAAGTGCCCTTACTTTTTGCTACTCAAGCTATACATTAGTTGTTTATGTATACTTTTCCTTATAAAATGTGTAACATTTCTATAGCGACCAACGTTAATCAAAAAAGGGAATTCTTATACCGTTTCGTTTTCGTTGGGTTTAACAGTCGTTGGGCGCCATTTTGTAACACTCCTTTAAAGGGATGCGGCCTAGCTCTTCCAAAGTAGAGCGGCTACTCTTGACCCACGATTCCGCATCATCGAAAGAAACATTAGCTGTAATGAAGTAATAACTAGTGGAAAAAAAACCAGGCCTTTCACTTACATTACCCAATTACGCCGTCTGTCCTGTCAGTCTTCCGTTGGTCTCTCCTCAGTCCGTCTGTATCTGTCCTATGTCACCCTACGGTCCCCCCACGTGTGCACCCCTTACATCGTACTCCTGCTACCGCAGGCACATGCGTGTCCTTACCCGCTCATTGTAGCTCACCGATAACTCATGACTCAAATGAAACAGAAGGTAAATACCTGACTACCACGCGAATATCGACACGGTCTTCTCTGTGTTGGCTGCTGTTGGTACCTGCTATTCGCTGCTACTGAGTAGTGGCGTATTTCTGCCGATGAAAATGATGACGTTGTCAGAGGCCAATTTTGTTCATTCAAGCTGGCGACGTTCAGTCGCCCTTGTTGGTCACGAGTAATATCACTGTGAGAACGTGTATTCACTGCGTGATTCAATTCCTTTTAATTTTTTACTCTGTATGAAACTTATCGGGTACGATCTCAAGAAACACAATCTTCAACTCCACTGAAAGACGTTTCATTTATTTCATAGTTAATAGATGAAATGTTTGTATATTTTTGCCTTCACTTTGAAATTTAAATAACAAATTTTATTATAAGTTACAATCGTTATTATTATTATTATGATTACTATTTGTTTTTTTTTTCTTTCTTTGTGCCTTCAATGCATTACGTACACCCAAAATTATAGACTGATTTAACAATCTTTAAAAGCATAAAAGCACACGTGCGGTTTAAATATTTCTCTTATTGTATTGTAAAAGGAGTCAAAATTAATGCTTGGAACTCTTCACTTTACTTCTCAAATTATAACATTCACACCTCTTTTCTCTTTTATCAAATTTGCATAGTATATCAATTTCTGAAAATCTCGCCTCATGTTTACATTTCTCTAACTTAACTCATATATTAATGTTGATGTCTCTTTGTAATAATTCTCTTTCT